CCGTCAGCCAATCGACGTAACGAAAGCAATGGTATGAGAGGAAGAAGACAGAAAATAACATGGTTTAATGACCCTCAACCGAGCCTCACAACCCCCGAGTAACTGCACGTCGATTCTAAGTATGTGTGTCTGTACTGAAAGCCTTTGCAGCCCGCGCGGCTTCGACACCGAAGCGCCTCCGCACGCGAACGACAATAATGACTGCCACTGTCAGCTACCCCTATATACCCCAACCACGACAACACACACGGTGAGCTTGATTGCGCACCCATGGGTCCCCGACAACAACAACACACTCGATGGACCAGGCCGCGCAAAAGGACGGTTAGCATCACCCGGAACTGGAAAGTTCGCCGCGCTCTGAACCTTGTGTCCACGCTCTGCCGCTGTCAGTAGGAAGGCTAGCCGTGGGTGCAGCACCTCACAAGTCGTCGCGGCGCGAGCCCCAACAGACCCCTGCGAATACCGATTGCCCCTATCGACCAAACAACCTGATTTCGAAAGGCAAAGGTAGAACATCGCGCAACTCCAACACCCAATCGGCGTGGAGAAGAAAATTACAACCTTGGATGGAAGACCCTCCCGGAACCCCAACAAATCCCGCTCTGCGAAAACGAGAAGGCGATCTCCGACTTGTGCGATGGCAATGTTGACCGCGCGAACCGCAAAGCACGCCGAGGCAGAAGCATGTCGGCGACTGAACCTGACCTGTCGCGACGATTCCTTTCATCGGAGGGCAACGAAGATCAACGACAGACCGCATTTTGACCCGTCCACAGAAACCGTCGTCAACCCCATTAAACCCATTTAAGGGCAATCCTCAAGACGAAAAATTTTGCGCACCACCAGACCACCCCGTATGAAAACGCACGGGGAAGTCTAAGCCGTTGAAAATGACGGTCAGAATAGCGTAGAGTCCCGAAGCTCGCAGGAGCCGTCGTTCAAGGGGGACTTGGAGCACCAAGGAACCGGTTTTCGCGCGGCTGGTGTCATTTGAAGGGAGCGTCAGCGGGGGCACGCAAGGAACGCTATTTTCGGTCGCACAGAAGGAAGGCCATCGCGCTTTCAATTGGTCGTCGTGCGACAACACTCGTAGAACAAAGGGTAGCGGTGGATGTACCACCAGACAATTCGGCGCAACGCGACCCCAAATTGACCCCTACAGACACAGACGACGAGTAATGTTGCACACCAATACTCCTCGCGCAATCAACTCGCACGCAAAGGTCCACGCATCATGCGAAGGACGGTTAGATTCCCACGGATCCTCAAAGTCCGTCGGGATCCGAACTCGGCGGAATGCGAGTGCAGCGAGTAACAGGTTTTCGCACGGCTGCAGCTATTGGAACGGGTGGTTGGCGTTTGCACAGAAGCAGGCCATGCTTGGGGGCACCCCCCACAAACCCCCATAAGCCATTTCTTGAATCGAGCATTTTGTGCACCCCTGGGCCTCCGACTTCCAGAACACGTCGGGATCGACGGCAGACCGACAACGGACACGTTTGCTGTCATCGACGACAATCCCCACAAACCCCTACAGGGGCATTCATGACGGCGAAGAATCTTGCGCACCAATACTCCTCCTAGAAGAAACTCGCACGGAAAGGTCCACGCCTCATGCGCAGGACGGTTAGATTCCCATAGTCAGATTCCTGTAAATAACATGTCGAAATGCAGAAATGGATGAAAGACCCCCTCCCCTGCAACCCTTCCAAACCCCGACACCGCCAGTCGATAAGGCGAACCCCGATTCGCGCGCCGGGAACGTCGACGTGCGACAGCGTGAACCGGAAAGCGCTCCGGAACACGAGCACGTCTGCGACAAGACTCCGCGTTCCACGACGGTCCAAACCTGTATGGGGCAACATAGATCGACGACAGACCGATGAAGGTCATGTCTGCTGTCACCGACGACCACCCCCATAAACCCCTACGCGGACATTCCAGGCGGCGAGGAATTTTGTGCACCAATACTCCTCCCTGGACCAACTCGCACGAAAAGGTCCATGCCTCATGCGAAGGACGGTTAGATGCATGCGGATTCTCAAAGTTCGTCGGGATCCGAACTTGGCGGATGCGAGTGCAGCGAGTAACAGGTTTTCGCGCGGCTGCAGCTATTGGAACGGGTGGTTGGCGTGTGCACAGAAGCTGGTGATGCTTGGCCGCACCCCCCATAAATCCCTAAACGCCAATTCTTGAAGCGAGCACTTTGCGGAACGAAGGGCCTGCGACTACCAGAACACGGCGGAGTCGACGGTAGACTGACAACAGACACGTTTGCAGCAACCGACGTCAACCCCTGTAAGCCCCGACACGGCCATTCCAGACGGCGAGGAATTTTGCGCAGCAGATTTTCTCCCGGAAGCAACGGGCACACAACGGTCCACGCCTCATGCGAAGGACGATTAGATTGCCGCGGATCCTCAAAGTCCGCCGGGATGTGAACTTGGCGGATGTGTATGCAGCGAGCAACTGATTTTCTTGTGGCTGCAACTACTGGAACGTGCGGTTCGCGTTTGCACAGAAACAGACGATGCTTGGCCGCACCCACCATAAACCCCTACAAGCCATTTCTTGAAGCGAGCATTTAGCACACCCCAGGGCCTCCGACTACCAGAGCACGTCGGGATCGACGGCCGACCGACAACGGACACGTCTGCTGCCACGAACGGCAACCCCCTTAAACCCCTACAAGGGCATTCCAGACGGTGAGGAATTTTGCGCACCAATATTCCTCTCGCAATCAAGTCGCACGCAATGGTCCTCGCGTCATGCGTAGGACGATTGGATTCCAGCGGATCCTCAAAATCCGCAGGGATCCGAACTTGGCGGATGCGAGTGCAGCGAGTCACAGGTTTTCGCGCGACTGTAGCGGTTGGAACGGTTGGTCGGCGTTTGCACAGAAACAGACGATGCTTGGCCGCACCCCCCATAAGCCCTTTCAAGCCATTTCTTGAAGCGAGCATTTAGTGCACCCCAAGGCCTCTGACTACCAGAGCACGTCGTGATCGACGACAGACCGACAACGGACACGTCTACTGCCACCAATGGCAACCCCCTTAAACCCCTACAAGGGCATTCCAGACGGCGAGGAATTTTGCACACCAACACTCCTCTCGCAATCAAGTTGCATGCAATGGTCCACGCGTCATGCGTAGGACGGTTGGATTCCAGCGGATCCTCAAAGTCCGCCGGGATCCAAACTTGGCGGATACGGGTGCAGCGAGTCACAGGTTTTCGCGCGGCTGCAGCGGTTGGAACGGTTGGTCGGCATTTGCACAGAAACAGACGATGCTTGGCTGCACCCCCCATAAAACCCTACAAGCCATTTCTTGAAGCGAGCATTTAGAGCACCCCAGGGCGTCCGACTACCAGATAACGTCGTGATCGACGAAAGACCGTCAACGGACACGTCTGCTGCCACCAACGGCAACCCCCTTAAACCCCTACAAGGGCATTCCAGACGGCGAGAAATTTTGCGCACCAACACTCCTCTCGCAATCAAGTCGCACGCAATGGTCCACATGTCATGCGTAGGACGGTAGGATTCCAGCGGATCCTCAAAGTCCGCTGGGATCCGAACTTGGCGGATGCGAGTGCAGCGAGTCACAGGTTTTCGCGCGGCTGAAGCGGTTGGAACGGTTGGTCGGCGTTTGCACAGAAACAGACGTTGCTTGGCCGCACCCCCCATAAACCCCTACAAGCCATTTCTTGAAGCAAGCAATTAGCGCACCCCAGGGCCTCTGACTACCAGAGCACGTCGGGATCGACGGCAGACCGACAACGGACACGCATGATGGCACCGACGAAAACCCCCGTAAATCCCTACAAGGGCATTCTAGACGGCGAGGAATTTTGCGCACCAACACTCCTCTCGCAATTAAGTCGCACGCAATGGTCCACGCGTCATGCGTAGGACGGTTGGATTCCAGCGGATCCTCAAAGTCCGTCGGGATCCGAACTAGGCGGATGCGAGTGCAGCGAGGCACAGGTTTTCGCGCGGCGGCAGCGGTTGGAAAGGTTGGTCGGTGTTTGCACAAAAGCAGATGATGATTGGGCACACCCCCCGTAAAACCCTACAAGCCATTTCTTGAAGCGAGCATTCTGCGCACCCCAGGGCCTCCGACTGCCAAAACTCGTCGGGATCGACGGCACCTCGATAACGGACATGCATGATGGCACCGACGGAAACCCCCGTAAACCATTGAATGGGCATTCCATACGGCGAGGAATTTTGCGAACCAATACTCCTCCCGGTAGCAACTCGCACGCAAAGGTCCACACCTCATGCGAAGGACGGTCAGTTTCCCGCGGATCCTCAAAGTCCGCCGGGATCCGAACTTGGCGGATGCGAGTGTAGCGAGCAACAGGTTTTCGCGCAGTCGGATCTATAAGAACGGGTGTTTGGCGTTTGCACAGAAGCAGGCGATGCTTGGGCGCACCCCCCCATAAACCCCTATAAGTCATCTCTCGAAGCATGCATTTTGCGCAACCCAGGGTTTCCAACTACCAGACCACGTCGGACAGTCTGGGGTCTTGAACGGGGCGGTTGGATTTGCGCAGATCCTCGAAGTCCGCCGAGATCCTAACTTGGATTGTAGAAGTTGACATCACCACGGCCTTGCGACTGCCTCAGAAGGTTATTCCAGGAATTCTTTCAGAAGAAATTGTTTGTAGAAATGTTTAGACCGTAGTTCGAACAACCAAAAGTGTTGGATATGCTCTTACGTTCGTGCGGAGAGGAAATAAAGCGACAGACGCGCTTTGTGTCATTATTTGTGCCGGCAATGGAAGCGCACAGCGTTGGATATGTGGTTTTAATAGCGCGAGTCGATAGCTCCGAACACCCTGCCAGCCGCCACCGTGCGAGGGTCGCAACACGAAGTTCGGATCCCGGCGAACTTCGCTTGTTGGCGCTTGCGATGTGGCGAGCTGCGCAAGGAGTTTGTCGGCGTCATGATGACGCCGACAAACTCCTTGCGCAGCTCGCCACATCGCAAGCGCCAACAAGCGAAGTTCGCCGGGATCCGAACTTCGTGTTGCGACTCTCGCACGGTGGCGGCTGGCAGGGTGTTCGGAGCTATCGACTCGTGCGGGCAAGTGGGGGCGCCGTTGCAACTGCAAGCCCGAACTACAACATGATTGTTGGTGTGTTGTCATGTGCGCGCGCTCTTCCCCATGGCCACRCGACGGCATCACCATGACACTTCACAGCCRYAGAAACGGTGTGTTTCACGACACAAGCGAGAGTGAACAGCATGGAGGCCGCGTTGTTCGATGTTGAACGAGGCCCTCGACACAACCGAGAGTGAACAGCATGGAGGCCGCGTTGGTATCGCGGCGGGGACCGCGTTGTTCGATGTTGAACGAGGCCATCGACTCGAGCGGTGATCACGCCGACAAAACGGTGTGCTTCACGACACAACCGGTGATCACGGGGTGTTCTCCACGACGCAAGCGGTGATCACGCCGACAAAACGGCATCGTCATTGTGGCGACTTGCGATGTCGTTCTCCATCGCGCACAGACCGCTTGTGTGTGCTCTGGCATGGAGCCCTCAGATGTCGCGCGCACATTCCTTTCGCTGGTCGCAAGGAGTGACGCAGCGCATCGCTCACGACCAGCGCCAGCAGCTCGCGCTCAACATCGGTGGGCTCTAGGACGGATGATCTGCACGCTGTGTGCGCGGGATCGAGTTGACACGTGGTCTCTACAGCGACAGAGGCACATGTTCAGCGGCGAGACGTCTTCCCGGTGTTGGACACCAGCCGTCTTAAGCGTAAGAGACAGCCAATGCACGACAGGTGGATGATCGAGAACCGCGCACGCATCCCAGTCGTGCTCACACAAATGCCCTCCCCCTGCGATGTATACAAACCAACATTCAATCATTTGGAGAACCGCGCGCAGATCCCTGTCGTGCTCGCACAGTCCCC